AAACTCCAATTAGTAAATTGAGCTACCCAGGTCGAAGTCCAAAAGTGATCATCGTACAACAGCTTTGGGTCACCCGCAATTCTACGACAGACAGCTATCGCGTAAGAACACGATTTTCTATGCGTCTGCCACTTCCGACAAGTACAACATTTTGTGGGGTAATCAACCTTATACCTGTATTTCCACATTTATTTATATATATACAAAATAAAAAAAAATGAGTGAACAAAAAAAAAACATATACTTACTTGTTTTGCCCTCTTCCACTAGCACGTAAACCGGTTGTCACCGCGTACATGGATCTGTCGTAGTCCGTACATTCCACCTCGTGAGTTGCGGTTGTTTGCTCCAACTGCAAAAATGCGATATAGTGCTCCCTAGCAATGGGACTCCTGCATCTGCTGGACTTGTTTTGTTCTTGTCGAAACAAATCCAGAGTTTTTTGAAATGTGGCCTCTACCAAAGCTCTGCACGGCAGGAACCTAACCCCTTTCAGGACATTGTTGTAACTCTCCGACATATTCGTTGTCAAAGTGCCCCATCTATGTTTTTCATCTCGATACAGGGTCCACTGGTTCAAAGGAACATTGAAAAGATAATTGTATGCGTCGGGATTAAATTCTTGAAGTCGCTGTTTTGTCTGTCAAAACTTTTGCTTCGACAATTGCGAACCCAACTCCCAACACCAATCCCGTATTTTCTTACTCCTTAACCGAGTCACCACATTGCTTCGAAGATGTCGAAGGCAAATCTGGTGATACGCAGCGGGTTCTTGCCAATCCGGTAATGATTCAATCGCACTGCGTAGGCCCACATCCCTGTCAGAAAGAACGCATATCTGTTTGTCGAATACAACATATCGCCGTAGATTCCTAAGGAAAAATGACCAACTGTCCGTGCTTTCTTCGTCGACAAGCGCATACGCGATTGGCAATAGCCGCTTATTCGTAGTCTGTGCTACGGCCACGAGCAATTTTCCTTTGTAATGTCCACGTAAATGTGTGCCATCGACGCTAATAACCGGCGGGCACATGTCGATGGTTTGAATCGCGGGACCAAACGCCCAGAACACGAATTTGAATTCTCTGTCTGGAAAGTGTCGCGCCACATCACCACCCTAAAATTCCCAATCTACAGCTGTGTTGGGATTCGCTCTTTGAAGCGCGGCAAAATATCTGTACAATACAAAACAATTTGATAAATAAATAAACATACTGACAGAAAAAAAAAACACGTATATTTGTAATTAATTTTTTCTTACTGAGGGAGTTCTGCGAAGTTCGACTCCCAACTGCCGTACACACACTCGATTCCTTTTTTTCTGCCGTGCCATGCCTTCTTGTAACTGACGTCGACTTTCCAACACTGCTTCACATCAGCCTGGACCATGTTAATGTTGTACTCTACTTTCTTCTGAATCTTATTAATTATAAGATTTGCAATCATATGGGCGATCACGTTTCTGTGGTCATTTCTGTCGACCTGTTGCATGCAAGTGTGTTGGTCAGTCCATTCAGTTACTTCCCACAAATCATCACGCCGTCTGTACTTATTCACCCGAGCCTTCCACAGACAAGGCACATCTGCATTCGATTTGCAGACCAGTTTGAATGACTTCTGATTTGAATCTTTTGTCCGAACCTCCCGCAACCTATCGACGTTCCAAGCCATTAGACCCGTTTGGGCTTCTTCCTTGCTCTGGAAAACTGTACCCAAACGTATGGTCTCAATGTCGCCATTCCACCGTGGAATAGCATACTCGTTCGCATCTATCCTGGATGGGTCCCATTCACCCATCTCGCGGTATATGTGCCGACCACCAATAGGAAATGGGTGTTCTTCTTCGATGAACTCGGCTTCACTCTTCTCATTAACCGATCTATCTAATTCGGTTTCTGAGGTCTCATCTGTGAAGTCATCTTCACCGGGAATAAAATCTTCATCATCCTCATCCGCCGCCCATTCTCTCGATGTCCCTTCTCCAAAATTAGGTACATGAGAAGTCGATGTACCCTCGACATCAAACACTCCCCCGTAACAAGGAGTAAAATCCTCAAACTGTGTAACGGGTGTATTTGCCTGCAACGATAAATGCAAATACACCATGGACATACTAGGAAAGTAATAAATCCATTCAAAACTATCATTATTGAGCATTGCATGATTCCACGAACCATCAGGTTGGCTAATCATCATAGTAATCTCCTGAATTGTCCAACCTTCTTCAAACTGACATTTTGCATTAATCATCTGTACCAACTGTTCATATGATATCCTCCCCAGAATTATAAATGAACCACTCGGACGATCTTTAAATGAAACAAAATCGCTTAACATTTCCTTCCCAAAATGCCAGTACAAATTAACAAGGTATGGACCGGGGTAGGCCATTTTATACCTGTTGCAAATAAATACTTTCATTTCTTTTTCCAAAAAACTCAATTTTTACTCTCCAACAAAAAATAAAAAATAACAAAAAATAGCCCTGTAACAACAAATTTCGTGAATTTAATTTAAAAACACGAAAAATATTATTCAAATGAGTTTCTTGAATCAAAATAAATATTGCGGGTTACAATCTCTATTATTTTCTCTTATTCTTTTCACAAACTATATTTTAAGTCTTGGAGCGAAATCTTCGGCTTGATCTTTTCCTTGACTTGATTTGACTTGAATTAACGTAATCCGAGGGCTTGAAAGCTTTTTCCCAGATCAAACGTCAAAATATCCCAAGAACGCGAAGAACACGAATCCTTGGTCTTCGCCGCAAAGTAGATCTCGAATCTTCTTCACGCACGTTTTGAATTTGCTAACGTTATTCGGAGGCTTCGCAGCTTGTTTCCGGATTGAACACTAGTCTTGAGGTTGAACGCGCTTGAATCTTGCTTTAAATCTTCAAGAACGCCTTTGAATCTTCAAGAACACTTGAATCTCGTCGAGAGACCTTGATCTTGAACTTGAATATGAACGCAATTCGGAGGCTTGGTAGCTTGTTTCCGGATTAAACGTCGGTTTTGAGCTTGATGTGCTTGAATCTTCCTTCGAATCTTCAAGAACGGCTTCGAATCTTCAAGAACACTTTGATACTTGTAGAGAAAATTCTCTAGAGCTCTTGAACTTGAATATGAATTATGAGATTTTTTTTGACATTAGAGAGAGCCCCTATTTATAGGTGTGGGAGAGAGCACCCTACCAAATTTAAGAATCGTA